AAAGCACCACAGCTGAACCCAGTCCCTCCTCCTCTCCCAAACCAGTCATTCCACTCGGCACCGGCCAAAAGACAGAAAAGCTACTTCTAGCCTCTCCTGGGAAGAGATAGCTTTCTTTTTTTTCTTTTTTTTTTTTTTTTTTTTTAATAAGTAACTTCATTGTTTTCTCTTTTCCAAGATGGCCGATGTTATGGTTTTCTACGAAGTCAGTGCTTACTTAGCTCACTAACAGCGCTGCTGTTGGCGGCTGCGGCTGCTGCTGTGGCAGGATTTTCAATGTGGTGTGTTTTCAAGCCTCACTCACTCATCCTCTCATTCCCAAACATTCAGCATCCGTGCACACTCCTCACTTCCAGGTTTTTCAAAAGATTGGAGATTTCCAGTGGGGGTCCTCAGGTTATCATCCCAATGGTGACAGATCTGAAAACAGATGGGAAAAAAAAAGTCAATCTCTGAGATCACATAAACTGAATGGAATTTGTCAATTTTTCAAGGATTGACACTCTTCTCTTCCTTTGTGCCATCGACTCGCTCTTATCAGCACCTACATCAGACGGTGGGAGGGAAACTCAAAAGAGCCAATTTTACTGAGATCTGCATGGTAAGATAACTAATTAAGAGGGAAAGAAATTAAAACTATATTTCAGTCTGGGTGCAGTGGCTCACGCCTATAATCACAGCACTTTGGGAAGCAGAGGTGGGCAGATCACGAGATCAAGACCTTCCTGGCTAACACAGTGAAACCCTGTCTCTACTAAAAATACCAAAAATTAGCCAGGCGTAGTAGTGCATGCCTGTAATCTCAGCTACTCGGGAAGTTGAGGCAAGAGAATCACTTGAACCGGGAGGTAGAGGTTGCAGTGAGCCAAGATCACACCACTGCACGCCAGCCCGGACAACAAAGCAAGATTGTCTCAAAAAAAAAAAAAAAAAAAGACCTCGTCTCTAAAAATAGTAAAAATTAGCCAGGCATGGAGGCGCTTGCATGTAGTCCCAACAATTTGGGAGGCTGGGACAGGAGGACCACTAAAGCCCAGAAGCTGGAGGCTTCTGTGAGGTATGATTGTACCACTGCACTCCAACCTGGGTGACAGAGGAGACCCTGTCTCCAAACAAATTGCATTTCAAAATATGAGCCAAGGCCTGGCATGGTGGCACACGCCTGTAATCCCTGCACTTTGGGAGGCCAAGATAAGCGGACCACCTGAGATCAAAACCAGCCTGGCCAACATGCTGAAATCCCGTCTCTACTAAAAAAAAAAAAAGCCTATAAATCCCAGCACTTTGGGAGTCTGAGGTGGGCAGATCACCTGAGGTTAGGAGTTCAAGACCAGCCTTGCCAACATGGTGAAACTCTGTCTCTACTAAAAATACAAAAATTGGGCTGAGCGCGGTAGCTCACACCTGTAATCCCAGCACTTTGGGAGTCCGAGGCAGGTGGATCATGAGGTCAAGAGGTCAAGACCAGCGTGGCCAAGATGGTGAAACCCTGTCTCTACTAAAAATACAAAAAAAAATCAGCCAAGTACAGTGGCGGGCACATGTAATCCCAGATACTTGGGAGGCTGAGGCTGCAGTGAGCCAAGATCATGCCACTGCACTCCAGCCTGAGTGACAACGCAAGAGTCCGTCACACATACACAAAAATTAGGTATAGTGGCTTGTGCCTGTAGTCCCAGCTACTTGGGAGACTAAGGCAGAAGAATCACTTGAACCCAGGAGGGAAGAGTTATAGTGAGCTAAGATGGCACCACTGTACTCCAGCCTGGGCAATAGAGCGAGATTGTCTCAAAAAAGAAAAAAAGAAAGTTAGTCGGGTATGGTGGCATGGCATGCACCTGTAATCCCAGCTATTCGGGAGGCTGAGACAAGAGAGTTGCTCAAACCTGGGAGGTGGAGGTTGCAGAGAGTCAAAATTGTGCCACTGCACTCCAGCCTGGGTGACAGTGAGACTCAATCTCAAAAAGAAACACACAAACACATACACACAATCAAAAGTAGGAGCCAGACAACTTTGCCTTTGGAAATCTTCTGTAGAGCTAGGCAATGTCTAAAAGCACTGCTGTAAAGAGGAGGGCATGAGGAAAAGAATAAAAAACAGAAAAGAGAATTGGGGGAAATGACATTACTGATGATTTTATTAGGACCCAAAATACTGTGGGAATTTCAGTGAATTCCAATTATAAAAGTTATATTCTCCATCACTATGAGGAGTCAACCATTTGGCTCAAAGAAAAACTGAGGTTGCCTGACCCAGAAGCACCTAAATGGAAAAGAGTACAAACAAAAAAAAAAATGCCAGAAGGCAGTGCTTGCCAGAATGGCCTAAAGAAAACAGAACTCCCCTCCTCCAGGAAGTAGAAGAGGACAGTAGAAGCAAGATCTTACCAAGCTTGGTTCTTCAGTTTCCTCAGTTCTTTTGTTGCCCATGTAGCAAGGGTTTTTGCTTTGTTAGTCTTCGATCTCCGCCCTTCAGTTAACAATTCATGAATCATTGGCCTAGCTTCTACTAATTTCAGTACATCCTTCCCAAATGCTGTACATAAGTCCCTGTGCAAAATAAACATAGCTGAGAATGAGCTCTTGGCCCCATACCAGTATGTTTTGAGCCTTCCAAACCAGTGCTAAGCTGACTATGGGTTTCTTAGCAAATTTCAGAGATAAATAAAACCCTCAATAGAGGTCACTAAACAGAGGCAATTTGTTGATCAACATCAGAGTTTAATGGAGTGCAATAGAGACCTTGAGGGTCTGGAATAAATATCACATAAACACTCAAAACAGGACATAAAGGGTTCTACAAAGAAGAAATCTCTGTGCCAAAGAAGTGAATTGTTGCTATCCACGCTACTCTCAAAATTACTTACTACGTGTTTTCTCATTTTCCGTGAGTAGTTCTATTCAGCTCTTAGAAGCAGGGTATAACTTACCCTATTAGTCCAGCAGCACAAGCTACTACTCCATCTGTATGATCCTCATCTCCAGCAATATGGTCAATGAAAGACAGAATAAATTCTACTCTGGGTTGTACCAGCATCACATCCGCTACAAAAGAGAGAGAAGGTCTGATGCAGCTGTCCCTCATATGACAGGACTACATCCTTTTTCAAAATTTCCAACTATTATAACCCTATCAACAAGGTCCAAGCTGGATAACTAGATGCACAGCACAGTTATATCAAATTATTCTTCCTTTGATTAATGCGTCATTCCCTCAAGTCAACAGAAGAGACAGATATTCCTTTTCCTACAGGCAAATATAGAAGAAACAAATTTAACTTTTTCCTGAGCTAATGATACCAAAGGTTACATAAAAAATTTCCCCAATCAGCCACAAGAACAAGTAATGGGAATTCTGATTCCCCAAAACTCCGATTTAGCTTGCAGGGGTGGGAAGGGGGTAGGGGACCTTCCACTCATAGTTGACACCAGAAGCATTTATGGGCCCCCCAACACTCTTGCTGAATCGCATCCCTTGCAACGCTCAAGATATATGAGAAAAAAAAGCAGAGGGCAGGGCACAGTGGCTCACGCCTGTAATCCCGTAATTTTGGGAGGCCAACTGACTGAGCTCAGGAGTTCGACAGCAGCCTGGACAACATGGTGAAATCCCATCTCTACTAAAATACAAAGCCAGATGTGGTGGTGCATGCCTATAGTACCAGCTACTCGGGAAGCTGAGGCATGAGAATCTCTTGAACTGGGGAGGTAAACTGGGGAGGTGAAGATTACAATGAGCCACAATCATGCCACTTGTACTCCAGCTTGGGTGACAGAGTGAGACTGTCACCAAAAAGCACAGTGGCTCAAGCCTGTAATCTCACCACTTTGGGAGGCCGAGGAGGGCAGATCACTTGAGGTCAGTAGCTCAAGACCAGCCTGGGCAACAAGGCAAAAACCTCGCTTCTACTAAAAACACAAAAATTAGCTGGGCGTAGTGGCAGATGCCTGTAATTGCAGCTACTCTGGAGGCTGATACAAGAGAATCACTTGAACCTGGGAGGTGGAGGTTGCAGTGAGCCAAGATCACACCATTGTACCCTAGCCTGGGCGAGAGTAAGACTCCATCTCAAAAATAAATAAATAAATTAAATTAAATAGAAAGAAGCAGAGCAAAAATAATCATCTATAGTCTTCCCCAAGCCACTCACTTCATTAGGGCACTGCTCCCCCTTCTCCCTGCCTTTAAGCAACAGGTGCTAGTTCACAAGCGAGCTACAGAATGACAGACATAGCCCATCTGACTAAGTGCACACTGGCCAGTGGATGAAGGGTTGTATACTCAACGGTGTACGTTTTCCTGATCCCCCTTCAATCCCTGGACAATTCCGGTATAGGCTTCCAAGCAGCTTTCCCTTAGTTCATTCAGATAATCCACCATGTCATAGTCTGACTGTAAGACACAAAGAACAAAGAACAGAACCGACATTGTGCTGATCACCTTTAGCTGCATGTTTGTCAATAGTCCCTCCAATTTCAGTTGGACTTAAAGAATAGCCAAGATAGCTTCAAGCTTACCTTGTCCACCTGGGCTTGGGAGGCCTGCTGAAGAGTATTCAATACAACCTCTAAGTATTTTTTAAACTCTCCACCAATAGCAAGGGCAATATCACCAAACACTGACAGAATCTGTGGCTTCACAGACCTGTGGACGTTCTCATTCTGACAAGGAACAAAAGGAAAAGTGAATAAAAATAAAAACTTGTTTGGTCCAAAGGTTCAAGAAACTCATTTCTAACAAGCAACTATTGATTTTAAATATTTGGATGGTCCTTTATAGCTTACACCACCTTTCCCATTTGCACCTCACATTAATTCTAAGAAGCTAGCCCAGGTACTGTCATTCTCGCTTTACACATGAAAAGACTGACTTAAGAGTCAATCCAGTGACTCGTCTGAGAAAACAGAAGCAAAGTAGCAAAGCTGGGTATAAACCTTAAAGGCGCACACAATAATTAATGATGGCTATCTCTGGAAAGAGGTATAATATACAAATGGTCCCCTACTCATGATGGTTTGATGATTTTTCCACTTTAAAATGTGTTTATTTGGACCTACCTCCATCATAAGTCAAGGACCATTGTATTTACTTTTCCTCTGCATTTTACTGTTTTAAAAATCTCTAGTAGAACACATGTTCCTTTAATTAACTTTACAATCTTTTGTGGCCAGGCGCAATGGCTCACGCCTGTAATCCCAGCACTTTGGGACGCTGCGGTGGATGGATCATGAGGTCAGGAGATTGGGGCCACCCTGGTCAACATGATGAAACCCTGCCTCGACTAAAATTACAAAAATTAACCAGGCCTGGTGGTGTGCGCCTATAATCCCAGACACTTGAGAGGCTGAGGCAGGAGAATCGCTTGAACCCGGGAGGGAGAAGGTGCAGTTTAGCTGAGATTGCACCACTGAACTCCAGCCTGGTGACAAAGCTAGACTCCGTCTCAACTTTACAATCTTTCTTTAACATAATCTGTGAAATGAACAACTCCTCTCTTTATAAGCCCACAGCCAATGTTCTAGAAACTTAGAGCTCCCTGTAACTAATGTTGATTTTTTTTTTGGTGGTGGGAGGAAACAGTTTCACTCTTTTCCAGGCTGGAGTGTAATGGCGCGATCTTGACTCACCGCAACCTCTGCCTCCAAGGTACGAGTGATTCTTCTGCCAAAGCATCCCAAATAGCTGGGATTACAGGTGCCTGCCACCACGCCCAGTTAGTTTTTGTAGTAGAGATAGGGTTTCACCATGTTGGCCAGGCTGGTCTTGAACTCCTGACTTTGTGATCCACCTGCCTCAGACTCCCAAAGTGCTGGGATTGCAGGTACGAGCCATCGCAGCTGGCCTGATGTTGACATTTAACTATCTTTCCAATTGTTGATTTCTTCAAAGACTGGTTAATTAGATTGTGTGTAGACACTCACCCCCAAATTTTCCAGAAGCAGCTGCATCACCTCGTCACAGAAAGGTATGATGTTGGATTGCAGGGCACGGCATAAGTCTCCCACTAAGCCCACAGCTGCCAAACAAACCTGCCAAGAATCAAGGATATAATCTTCTAACAGAAAGGCTGCCTGCTGGGTAAGATATTACTTTTACCTAGCTGCTGGACCTTTATCACTTGAACCTAAAGTCAAAGGAGAAAACATCTTCCCTCTGCCTAATTTTTTTAACAACCAATACAGCAGGAAGTGAACAAAGACTATCCGAGAGATATAAAAGAAAAAAAGTTAAAAAAAAAAAAAAAAAAAAAGCCTTGCTCTCCAGGGTGCTGATAACTTTATAGCTGCTCCTGCATCAGTACTGTCTAGGCAAATAAATAGTCATCTTGTGAGCCTTTATCTGGTGCATCTAATAACTTGTTTTTCATGGACTACTTCCAGTTCAAATGCTCAGGCAATGAATAAAGCAGCTTGCCTTTTGGGACAATGTATAAGGAAAAACTACCTAAGGTGTAAGAACCTGGTTTTATCTGCACTACAGTGACTATCAGGTATAAATGAGAATATATTATTTTGAAAAGCATATCCTACCTGGTACTCAGCATAATTTTTTAATCCAATGCCCAGGAAGGGTTTAAACGCCTCCATGTACTTGAGGAATTCACCGCCCAACACTGTAATGAAACAAACTATTAGTCAATGACAGCACCACAGGGTTACAGAGTAGGCCAAAATAACACATCCTACCTCTCCCAAAATGTACTCACTCCACTCAACAGGTCAGGTGGAATGTGAGTCAGTTACTGATTCTATCATGAAGACATTGAAGGCTTACATAAGCCACATTTATTATTGCTGGAAAGGCCCTAATTTTTATGCCACAAAGACAATGCTAACTCTCCACAGAATACGGCTTTACTCCGCTAATACAATAAAATGGTATGGACCTCAAGGAATATTGAGGTTAATTTTAAATGGGCTGAACCAGCAATACTGCCTCTTGTCCACCCCCTCATCTGATAATAACGTGTCCTTTCTGCAGGCCGGCTTCAAAGCAGGGTCCTTCAGCAATCCCATCAAGGGCTTAACAAGCCACGGTAAGGAAAAGCAGCACTGGGCTTCAGATCCAAATCAGCCACTACAGGAGCCAAAATTAACTTCCTTGCCCTTTCAGAAGGGTGGTCAAATGTTGACAGACCAGTTGGACATAGACTGTTTATGCCAAAAATAGGTCTGGTCCTCAGGAGAGTGGTCCTTAGGTAAATGGCCTTAGTAATGTACTTACAAGCCACCCCTGAAGAGGCATTCCAGATTCTTTAAGTGCTTTGTAATGGCCCTTCAAAGAGTCTTAAGTCAGATATGGCTTCCCTAAAGCAATGTTACAGGCATACGTGTAAAAATCAGAAAATCAATTCCTAGAATGTGCTCAATGTTTCATTTTATCCCATACTAGGCACCATGGTGTGTCAATCTGAGCCCAAAGCATTACAACCCAAACCAGGTGATACCAAGTACCAGGAAAGAAAATAGAAACTTTTGGCTGGGCACAGTGGCTCATGCCTATAATCCCAGCTACTCAGGAGGCAGAGGCAGGAGAATCGCTTGATTGTGGGAGGTGAAGGTTGTGGTAAGCTCATGTTACTGTACCCCAGACAGGGCAACAGCAAGACTCCGTTTCAAACAAACAAACAAAAAAACACTCAGCCAATCTTAGCTGCAAACTGACTCCACATTTAAACAGATTGACAAGGCAGGTAAGGCAGTTATACAAATTTATACTTAAGTTCAATCTAACTTTGAAGTGACTCATGCCCCAGTAAAAGGACTATGCTTTCTGTAGTTAAAAATTCTTTAACGTCCTGGCATGGTGGCTCACATCTATAATTCTAGCGCTTTGGGAGGCTGAGGCAGGAGAATCACTTGACTCAGGAGTTTGTGACCAGCGTGGGCAACATGGCGAAACCCCGTCTCTACCAAAAACATACAAATTAGTCAGGCATGGTGGTGTGCATCTGTAGTCTAAGCTACTGGTGTGTCAGGGGCGGGGGGTGAGGGTGGGGCTCAGGTGGAAGAATCACTTGAACCCAGGATGTGGAGGCTGCAGTGTGCCAAGATCACGCTACTGCACTCTAGCCTGGGTGACAATTATTTAAGGCCATTGAAATGCCTGCATTCTAAAGACATTCCCTGACCAGACGGTATTTTTCACCGACCTTCCACCAGTGTGCTAACTGCCATCAGGGCATCCTCTTGTACTCCCCCAGACCCAGCTGTGCTTTGGAACATCCTTAACAGGGAGGCCATGACCACATCAGAGATCTGCAATGCATCTTGATGTTGCACTTTCCGAAGAACATTCTGTGAAATGAATAAGAGTTCAAGATCAGTTGATTCCAAATCTCCCAATCAGAACAGTATACCTTCCTTTTACAAATCAATTCAGTCCTTTTTTTTTTTCTTTTGCGAATGCCAAATGTACTTTTTATACTCAAAAACTCTGATAATACCAATCATTAGCAATACTTTTTTTTTTTTTTTTTTTTTT